TATGATAATATAAAAAAGCTAAAAAAACTGGAACCACGAAACATGCTGGTGGCAACGGTCGCCCCAGAAAAATTATCGGACATGCTCCGAAGATGCTCGGGCAATCCATTAGGCGTGATACTTCCTTGTCAACGCGAACTTTGGCAATCATTTGAAGGATCTTGGATATAAAAAAAGCCTTCCAAAAGCGACACCTATGCTGACTGATGGTCACAAGCAAAACCGTGTAGAATGGTCCAGAAACATCTTAATGATGACTGGAGCCACACTGTTTTTTCAGAGAAAACAGCATTCCAACTCTTCCGTAACACTGTAGAACGTTGGCACAAAAATGCACGGCCAGTTCGGTGTATGCCAAAAGATTGGACGAAGATTATGGCATGGGGTGGATTTTGTGTAACTGGTAAGACGAACTGCCAAATCCTATGTCGAAATTTTTCAGCAACATTTCCCAGAAATTGATCACATGCTTGGAGTGAGTAACTGGAGGTTTCAGCAGGACAATGACCCCAAGCATACGAGTCGTCTTGCTAAAGCCTTTCTTGATGAGAATACTCCAGTAGTCATGGATTGGCCATCCAATAGTCCTGACTTAAATCCTATTACTATTGAAAATTTGTGGGCCATTGTGAAGGGTAATGTGGAGAAACGGATGCCCAAAAATATCAATAAACTGGATGGAGCAATTTATGGTGGAGGAGTGGAAAAGTATCCCGGATACTGTTATAAAAAATCTTGTGGGCTCAATGAGACATCGCTGTGAGTGTATTATTGAAAATCATAGAGAGAATTGCGTATTAATTGTTATTAATAAATCTGTTAGTTTTCACCTTTCAAATAAGCTATAAACCATTTAATTTGGTCCATTCATTGAGACACAGTGAATAAAACTTTTATTCCGTTTTTTTTTTTTGACACACTGTATGTGTATTAATTTAGGGACGGGATAATTAACGGATCAACCACGCACCATTCATCTTTATCATTTCGCTCTCGAAAGGATTTAGTGCGCAGAGTTTTTCATGAATCATGTGGAACCGTTTCTATGTCACCTATCTCCATACTCCATCAATGCTTTCCAGACCGCCATAAGCCTGTTATCACGCCGGACGACAAACGCGATTTATGGCCTCTTCATTTCGAAAAAAAAAGTCATAACAATAAGTGGCCTGTTCCCCACCGCGTAACATCCGACTGCAAGCTCACATATATTCGCGAAACGAACGAATGGAAACTTTCCTGGGTTTACGAGGCGCAAAGACAACTCCGCGAAACCCAAGCGGATGGCTCTGTTGATGCAGTTTCCATTGACCCTGGCGTTCGTACACCGTCACGTGGTACTCTCCGTGTAGGCAATACGAATTATTCGTCTGTGTCAACACATGGCCTCGTAAGAAGAAGCAGGCCCTTGCGACTCGATACGGCAATCTTTCGCGAATTTGATGCCATCATCATTCCTCCTTTTGAGGTATCAAATATGGTAAACCGAAAAACACGAAAGATATCACTATCAATTTCGCTAACGTCTTGTGGCTAAGGCAGAAGAACTAAGAGTCCGCGTTATTATCCAAAATGAGGCCTACACTTCGAAAACTTGCAGCTGGTGTGGAAACATTCAAAAAATAGGAGGGTCCGAGATGTACAAATGCCAAAATTGCGGAACTGTAATGGATAAAGATGAAAATTGGCGCTCGGGGAATCTTAGTAATTAGTAATGCCTACTATTGATGTGTTTGTTAAATCCATCCGTCTGCTCGGAAGAAGAAACCTTTTACTGCAACTCGAAGGCATTGCTCTGGGCCAAGAAGAAAGACGGCATATACATACTAGAGCATCCAAACATCTCTCCAGATGCCTTTGAAGGCATACTCCGGTAAAGTACTGGAATGAGCGCTATTAGCTGTATAAACTAGAATAAAAGTGAAATGACATTACCCCGCTTTTCTTATCTGACTTTTTCTTAGACGTCTACTTTTCTTATGATTATACTCTTTAGATATATCATTCACGGTAAGACTGTGATATCTGAACTCGACGAAATTACACTTTTGGATGTGATCGTAGCAGCCGACGAACTGCTATTCCATGATCTTGTCGGTTACGTCGAAAGCTATCTAATTAATACGTATTTCCAAAGTGTGAGGGACGGTCTCACTATTTTCCTCAACAAAATCGTTCGCCATCAACAACTCAACGGATTGTGGCGACGTCCACTACGAATTATAAACGAGCACCACGCTGTACTGTGTAATTCCGCGGACCTCCCATGTCTAGAAAAATCAGTTTTAGCCAGTATCTTAGAAGATGATAGCCAATAATAAGTCAACTATGGACTATAACGCTCAAATGGGGAATGAGCCGTAATCCCGCAAGAAGTCTCGAATTCGCCTCGTGGAACTGGATGTCTTTCCATAGAATTATCAGTTAGAACATCACCATCTGTTCCTTTTCAAAGAATAAAAAGATAAACACGTATGCTATTGGAATTTTTTTTATTATTATCCGTTCGTTCTGTGGACCAAATTAATCGCCAAGGGATATAAATGTCAATATGTGATGTATAAAAATAGTAATGGGCTGGTTCTACTTTTGTGACTGTAGGATTACAAGAGCCCGCGCCTTTCCATTTCCTGTTTGAACGTTTAGCGTAAGTATAGTGTCAAATAGAATTCATTAAACTTTGATGTCCAATTATCGTTACCTCTCTCAGAAGGAGGCCCATTTTCGCTGGACTCTTTGATACTATCACTCCAGCACTCTCAAGAGCTTTAATCTTATCAGGCGCGGCACCCTTGCCACCAGCGATGATTGCACCTGCGTGGCCCATGCGTCGACCTGGCGGTGCTGTCAATCCGGCAATGAAGGCGACCACTGGTTTTGGTTGGGTACGGGTGAGGTTGTAATTTTTTAAGAATTCAGATGCCTCCTCCTCTGCCGTTCCACCAATCTCCCCGATCAATATGATACCTGTGTGTATTTATGTATTATATTAATAATCGCGCTATTTCTGCGTATGCTGTTTCTGATAAATGACTCACCCTTAGTGTGGTCGTCATCCAAAAAGAGCCTCAAACAGTTGACAAAATTAGTGCCGTTAAAGGGATCCCCTCCAATGCCAACACACAACGTCTGTCCAAGATTTGTACGGGTAGTCTGATTGACAGCCTCGTAAGTCAAGGTGCCAGATCGAGAGACGATCCCAACAACACCCTTTTTGTGAATATGACCAGGCATTATTCCAATTTTACAAGCTTCTGGGGCAATTATCCCCGGACAGTTGGGCCCAATCAGTCGTGTCTTTCCTTGTGATTTCAAGGCTTTAATGACCTGAATAAAAAAATCGTAATTCGATTCTCAACATTAAAGGCGACTTAAAATAAGGTTTTTCTTGAAAAGCTATATATTATCAAGTTATTGTGTTTATGACCATGTGAACACATTTCGTTAATACAACAAAAAAGCACAGGTACCTTGACCATATCTTTTTGGGGTATACCCTCCGTTATCGCCACGACCAGCGGGACTTCGGCTTCAATAGCTTCTAGGATGGCATTGGCGGCGAAAGGAGGTGGGACATAGATAGCAGAAGCATCTGGTTTCACTTCCCGGACAGCCTACTATGGAGATATACGCGTCGAGGGTATATGATTTGAAGAGCAACATCTAGAATTTCACTGCACTGACCTCCGCAACAGAATTAAACACTGGAAGTCCCAAGTGGGTTTTACCACCTTTACCAGGAGATACGCCACCTACGAAATTAGTACCATAATCTAATGCTTGTTTTGTATGAAAAGTGCCCTAATGTGAAGAGAAAAATCCATATCCACAGATACTTCAATTGAATAAAAAAAGTTAAAGCAATGGGCTTGCATGCTTTGTTTTTTGCAGTACCTGGTGACCGGTTATCCCTTGACAGATGACTTTTGTATCTTTTGTCAAACGCATATTCCAAACAGTGTCATCATAAACCGAATTTCGGATAGCCGTAGAAGAAAGGGTTCTCTGAGCCGATTTGTGGAAAAGATTCACTGGAATAGGATTGAAAAAATTGGGGGTTGATATCTCTTTTTTTTTTTCGAATCAGCGCACGAGTATGCAAACGATCCATACTGGACGCATTCAAAGGATTACCTGGGGAAAGACGAACAAACGAAGTCCGTACATTGTAACGCAACATAGTTCCGACAGAGTAATGGGCAAACGGAAGGGAGAGTGAAGGCTTTCTTCCAGTTGCGAGGATCTGGAGGGGAGTAAAATTCTCAAGTGCAACACAGCTATGTCGAACCGTGTGGCCCTATGATAATATGTCGATCTTCTGAAAATGTAGGATGATCGGGGGATAGAACCAAGTGAAAAATGACGTGTATTGGATAAGCTCTTCTTGCATGAATCCTTGTTTCCAACAGTCAAAATGATATGTCGACTTGGTTAGAATACATGGGTCGGAATTGCGCTATAACCGTGGTCTTTTCACTTAGTCTTACTGGTATTAAACGAATTGTAGTCTTTAGTCCAACATGCAGTTGTGAAATAAAAAGGCAGCAAATTGACGCAATGAGATGGAAAAACTAGGGAAGTCATGGTCAGCACTTAATTAATACTTTGAAGCTAAAGAGTCTGAATTATGAGATTATGATAAATCGCTCCTATAATAATAATAACTGTGAACGTAGTACGAACTGACAGAATGTTCTATGATGAATACTTGTACGTATGCATACAGCAGATAATTCAATTGCTATGATAATACCACTTAATATATACTACAGCAAGGCATTAGAGAATTCAGCTCACGACTGACTACTCATAATGATTTCTACTTTCTTGGACAGTACAACGATAGTGTGGCGATATGCAAGTCAACTTTGTTGTAGAACACGATTTATTTCCATTTATGCTATGTGCTCGCGAAATTACTTTACATGGAAGGTTGGAATTTGAGGGCTTTATAAGGTATACAATGCTCCAACCCCGATGTTAAAACGTGCCACTTTTTTCTAATCGTTGCGCGGATGTCTCGGTCTAGCCGCTTGATCTGCCACAGCATATGAACCAAGGGCGAAAACGGCGTCGACTATAGTCGCATATAATATAACTTTAGGAACATCATTGCCCATGTACTTGAGCAATCCAGTCAGTCCGCAGACAAGTAATCGATTTAATACTACAAATACACAAGAGTATTAGTGTTGTTACTGCACATGCGTGTTACATAATCCGTTTTACCTGAATTCTTCATGAATTTCTCGTCATCATTCGTACTGGCAACAATATGATAATGACCGAGAGCAATCTGTAATAACGTCGATTTATTTTATTGCAAAGCCTTCAACTTTCCGATCATTCAATGACGCTAAAACGTACCATAGGAATTCCCAGTAGCCTATACGCAGTCTGAACCTGTCCGATCTGAGACGTGACTGAAGATTGGATGGCTAAATCTGGGTGACAAGACAACGCAACACCTTCCGCGACATTGATCGCTCCTTGAATAATGTGCAATGTAGAAGGACGGACATAGGAGTAGAATCCGTTGGAAGACATGTATTTTTTGAGTGTGATGTTTGATGTATGCAAATGAACAGTTGGTTTTTGACCATATTTATATGGGAATTTATCATTGACATAGGTGATGTAACATTTACGTTTGGTTGTGTACATATATTTTAGCGATCCTTTTTGTTAAGAGAATTTCTCTTTCGGTTTAGTTGATATTTACCTTTAATGACGTAGCAATTACACATATATGGCGGATTCTCTACCAATGACTGCGGATATTGATTAGACGTAGTTGTATATATAGCCAAATGGTCTCGAAACTACTAAACGCCACAAAACTGTCTATCTCGGATTTGCGTAATCAAAAAATCGCGATTTACTTGATACGATTACAATCAAAATAGTCAAAGGATTAGAGTTTGAAAATCAAAGCCTGATGAATACCTCAATCTCTAATATCTTTTTCGATCTGTATATGACTTTTTGAAGTGCTTCATGGAGTTTGTCTTTATAGAGTCAAATTATCATCATGGAAACAATGAAGACCTTTCGTCTGTCAGATATTGATTTAGTTAAATAAAATAACTCGGGCCTTTTTATCAATATCAGGAGCGAGGCATTACAAGTTATGCTGTTTTTCAGTAATTTAAAACCGAATTGTGAAAAGGAATTTTTCATGAAATAACTTTTTCGCAAAGAGTTATTGCTAAATGTTAGTTCTGTTGTTTTTTTTTATATTTTAACTTCACAGTAATTAATGTTTATGCGTTATGGAGGTGGTGTTTTTCAAAGGTGGGTAAATTGTGTTGTTGCATGCAATAAATCTTCGTTCATTTATTATTATACATTATCACAATAGCGAATGAATTCTCGTTGTGCGAGAAAGTGGATTATGGGAAACTCGGGTGTAAATACCATAAACCAAAAGTGTTGCATAATTTTTGAAGTGGACATCTTGAATAAAACTCCTCACCAAAACACGCTTCCTCAAACTGGATCTTGTCGCGCAAATCAATCACTTCAAGTCAATCAAACAAAAATAATATTCCTGTTTCGTACTCGTATTAATGTTAACGTTACTATTTAGACGCCAATAATTTGCTAGAATTACCAAGTCAAACACGCGCTAATTTACTTTTATTGTTTTGCCTTTTGTCCTCATTCTCGAGGAAGAGGAATAATTGTATCTAACGGTCCGTAAGCTGCTAACACTTTTCGCCTTATATGTATTCCAATGCTACCACGAACCACTCAAAGAAAAATTGCATTTCGTTAAATATCTTTAATTCAGTATTAGAATATACTGTGGCGGGAAACGTAGATCGCGAAAATCCAGATCGTCATGCCAGCAGTGTTGCACAAGTGCTCGCACGGTTTGAGTTATTATAGCTTAAATTGTCAGTTGGCGGTTGACGAGTAATGGATGTTGTGACTGTTGCGACAGGTCCTGGCTTAAGAACGAGATTAACTACTGTCACGCATTGTGGGTTAAACGTGTTTTCACTCTGAGAATTCCATCGAGTATAATATGTAACAACAATAAAGAACCTGTATCTATGATACTAACAGCGATTTAAACAAGTTATTGTTATGTTGATTTTCGGGTAGTAAATTAACATGGGAACATGGATGTGTGGTGGGTTGACTGCCCTTATTATCGTCTTGCAGACTACCGACAATCCTTCGATCAATCAACATCTCGTTTCAGCAATTGTAAGCAGACAATTAGTTGGTAAGTATCCCGGTTAATGGGAAAATTCCTTACCATGATAGTAGCGTTTCTCGCTGCTGCTGCTGCTGATGCTGCTGCTTATTGTGCAATTGCATTTATTTCAGCAGAACGCAATGCGTATAGTTTTCACTATAGGGCTATGTCAAAGAACACAGCATGTCCAAGTCGCTAGACATGCATTTGCGGTATGAATATTTTTAATAAGCTCTGCCGTCATTTACGAAGAGTGGTTTATGTGACAAACCAATCTTATTATTCCCATATGGAATTTAGTATTCACTCTGTACCCATTGTCCCTACTGTATGCGGGGTTCATGATCATCGGTCTGCAGTGATATGCGTTTATAAAATTGCTGGACATATACCAATTATCTCACCGTTCTCCCATTCCCCATTCCCGTTATTCTTCTCATAATACTCTACAAGAAAATGACCACGCAAACACTGGATGCAACTATAGGCTCCAAGTCTTGCTCTGTTTCGTTCGATGGAGACAATATCGCCTTTCGTCCAAACGGTACGTTTTAACAATTATGTAATGTCGTATTTTTCCGCATAGAAAAGGAGTCCCCAACCTTTGTAGAAGTTTCTTATCATTTGTGCTGCTGTGATAAAGTCTCCATGAATCTTTGCCCATAACACACCAGTATGACTCCGACACTTCCTATAGGAAACGTTCGAACTGTCAACTGGTCTTCTGCTCAAAGTGTGTATTAGTGGTTCATCCAACGGTTGATTAATGTCATGAATTTGGGAGAGAATTGGAGTTACTGACGAATAAGCAACTTCATTGTTTATGCGCTTTTAATGCTGGATTTAGGCGGCATAAAATCAATTCCCGCCCTAAATGTCTTGAATGTTACTTTGGAAGATGAAAATAGCATCAAGATACAGGTTGCATCTCCAAAGGGATCTAATAAACTGCGGGTCAAAACCATCGAATTAGTAGCAGCCGATGCCGAAAAGGCTAAAGAATGGGTACCGTTAGTAAATAGGGCCGCATACAAAGGTATTTATAAAATTAACCTTGGGTGCAAGGGCACATGATCTTAGAACGCAATGGTGAATACATGTAATATTCCAATGGTTTACCATTACCTAATCCAATTTGTGCAGATTCCAAGAGAGGCAAGCGTTTCAAAGTGATCATCAACCCGTTCAGCGGCACTGGTAAAGCATCGGAAACATTTCATAAGGAAGTAAAGCCACTGTTCGAAGCTGCTGGATGCACATGGGATATCACGTGTACGTATCGATTCGACAGAAGACGTATAAGCAAAAAAATTTCCAGACGGTAGTTTTAGCTGGCTTATTATAGATGTGACAACATCATGACTTGCGATCGTGACACGCAATATCCTTTTAACGATTGGAGTTCTAATCTTAATGTCTCCCCCAACACTCAGTTACTGAAAAAAAAAATCATGCTAAAGAAATAGCACAAACGCTGGCGCTTAGCATGTACGATGCCATAGTCGCCGTAAGTGGTGACGGGATTGTGCATGAACTAATTAACGGCTTGTTATCGAGACCAGACGCAGCCGAAATTACGACTCCCATTGGATGTATCCCGGGTGGTACGTAAATACGTAAAGTAAGAAAGCTAGAATTTCAATATATAAACTTTTGTAACATTATTATTGATGCAATAATCAATAGGCAGTGGAAATGGCATATCGGTTTCTCTCACCGGAAATAAATATGGATACAGTGCTTCATATTCTGCTTTGGGCGTCATAAAAGGTGTGGACTGAGCTTGCAAACTCTGTTGAGAATCTCTTCGCAAGGTGTTGTTTGCCATCTTATGCGAACGCAATTACGTCATCTTTTAGGCAAACCGTTCAAAATGGATATCTGCTCAATAACTCAAGGAAATAACCGCTACTTCAGCTTTATTTCCCAGACTTATGGCATTGTGGCTGATTGTGATCTGGGCACAGAGCATCTTAGGTGAGATAGTATTCTTCATGTACACGCGAAACCTTTCCCTTCCCGCATTTTGCTCCCAAACTCTTTTCGTCCAACAGCTTTTTCCCCTCTTCTCACTTTCCTCGTTACATTGCGATTCAGATGGATGGGTGATCTGCGCTTTACTTGGGGTGCACTCAAGTGCATCCTTCAAGGCAAACGCTATAGCTGTGAAATAGCCGTAAAGATTGAACAAGACAATCTCCAAACAATCAAAGAATCGTATCGTAATTCACAACAGAACTCTAATGCTGCCGGACCACCGGCAAACGACACTATTTCGGGATCTATTGCAGACACTTACGGTTCCGTCAATGATGAAAAAGTACCGGATGATTGGGTTACTTATAATGAAGATGTTTGGATGATTTATGCTGGAAAGATCCCATATGTGGCGAGGGACATGTGCTGTTTTCCTTGCGCTTCACCAAATGACGGACTGTTGGATCTAATGCTTGCGTTTAAAAAGAATGTTAGTCGAACCAAGGCAATTAAATTCATGGGATTAATGGAAACTGGAAAACATATCGATGCCAAGGAGGTATGTCATTAGATAAAGAAAACACGCCAAATGATTTGTTGGGTGCGTACGATTTTAGATCCACTTGTCACAACTGATGAATTCATTCTTTTCATTGTAACCACACAGATGATTTACTGCAAAGTAAAGGCATTCCGTTTAACTCCTAAGACTATCGCAAACACATACATATCAGTTGATGGAGAAAGTGAACCTGTGGAGCCAATCCAAGTTGAAGTTCATTCTCAATTGATTACTTTTTTGTCGTTGACGGGTCGGTATGCTCCAGTTAAAATATAAAACCGCGATTAACTTTTTCTTATCCTTACTTACATAGAGACTGTAAAATAGTCCTAGACTTGTGTTTCCTTGGAGTTATATTTCCATTCAGATTTATATAGTTGGTCGATTTAGTTTAATATCACAACGTTAATTATCCGTTGCGTAGATTAATAAATGTATTATTACAGTGAATAGACAATGTATACAAACTCTCGTCACCCATCACGTTGAACGAATATCAATAGACAGGTCGTTTGCTCTTAAAGACCTTTCCGATTTTAATGAACTTTCGTCGCTTTGTGGACTAGAACACTTTAATAGTAATATATTCGTAAACGATAGAGTTTGGATATTTGTATAGATGTTTATTCGGAGATACTGCGATATATGGGTTCGTTAGTCAGATACCGTACGTAGTCATTTATGTCTTGTCATATGTTCGTACAGAACGAGCGATACAATTTAGCAATGTGTCATCATATGAACAAACGTTATCAATTGTGGTAGTCAATACTTTCATAATTTGGCAGATTTCAAAAGTTTTTTTTTTTTTTAATTCAAACCATGTCGTTAGCATCAGGGACTGTTATAATCCAGCAACCGAAAACTTTGTTCAGTCACCCTTGGAACGACTTAAGACTTGAATTCACAAATCAGCCAACTCAAATGACGCTATTTATAAACAAAAGTTCGAATTATGGAAAGATGACAATGTTGCTATCATTTGGAATAAGGAAGAACGTATAACAGACTTGTGACTTTGCTAGGGGTATATTCACTTCCAACAAGTGTCATGATGACGTTAATCAGTCAGAAGATATTCCAATTGGCTTAATCGTCGCGACAAACTCATAAAGGGTTTTACCAAATACGTTGACAACTATGACATGGTTGCTTATTAACGCTTTTACTACTGTTATTCTTTCTGTGGATTCTGTGGTGTAGTGCATATGTGGACATAAAGAATTATCCGTTGGATGGACTAGCAAATAAACTCAGCGAATCATGCCTATTACTATTTGGAATGGGATTTCAGCGATTTCAATATCTTTGTTACAGCATGGGAGGGAAATACTCGGACCCAAAAGCCATTGATGAGTATAATAATAACCTATTCTTTGATCCCTCTGGTCAAAATTTAAATTTCATTGTCTTTTTTATTGTTGCTACTACAGTCAATTGCCTTTAATTCGACCCCTTTTAATTTGATTTCGCCGATAATTCGATCGCTTGAGCAAGACCCGAAAAATATTTTTATTATTGTTTCTTCAAGTACGTCTGCCGTTAATTCGACCGATGACTCCGGAACGGCGGCGGTCGAATTAAAGGCAATTGACTGTATTGAACATTATCACTATCGTCTATTCTTTAGCTTTTAATTCATAAATTTTAAACGATATTTTGTTAAATGGGAACTTTGGATTCAATTTAATTCTTTTGTCGTATGATCGTTTAAAATCGTTTCGACTTCTGGAGAGTAAGTTTTTTTTGCTGACGGTTTTGTTCAGTTGTAACTTTTTAGATTAAGTAATGCACCAGCACGATTAGCTGGTTATTACAGATTAGCCAGTTACTAACGAAAACCAATTAACACTCCAAGGAAGAATTCGCTTGTGAATGTGGGCATTTTTCGTAGCGTTATTGATGAAAATTGTTTGGTTTGTCTAATTTATTGAGTTGCAGTTGATTTTTTGAAAGCTACTAGTGCTGTTTTTATAATAAAATCTTGCGATGATGCTTAAATTGACAAATATGCGCGTTGCTGTGCATCAATTATCTCTGGTCATTCTGCATACAATGGAAAAAATCTAGAATGTTTGTAATAATAACGTCATTGATTGAGCCCTTAGCATATTAATATACACTCCCTGAATAAGTATCCGATGGGAGTTTTTTCGAGTTTTATGCAAAAGCCAGTATAATAATTATACATAATTTTTATATCATTTTGTAGCTTAGTTTTCACGAATCTGTATGTGCGATTACTTTCTTGAACGACGAATTATCAACAAAAGGCAGTTACGATTAAAATTTACTGTATATAAAAGAAAGAAGAAATTAATATTAAATGTAAAAATTTTAAATCTATATAAATAAATAAAATTGTTCTATTATTATAAACCAAATATACAAACTAAAACATGTGTTTTGCTCAACTTTTTCTTGCCACCTCTTTTTTATATGTAAATAATTAAATAAAAAAAAAAGCAAAAATCTTCGTGTTGTTTTGTTTTATTGTTTCCAAGTTTTATTTCCGAGCACTTTTATTATCGTTTACAATGCCAAAAAGTTCCGAATTAACAGAAGCTAATCGAGGAAAAATCTTAGGTCTTAGAACAGGTGGATTCAAAAATACCCAAGACATTTAAAATTCCGCGATCCACTGTACGAGATACCACTGTTGGCTACATGAGCTCTGGTAATTTAAAAAGTGCCACAGAATTAGAGATTGCTCTGAAAGAGGAATAATCACTAATTTTCATCAAACATATTCTAAGTTGATTAAGAGCATGCCGAATAATGGATGACCAACTCAGTACTAAAATAAACTAAATGTTTAGAGCCAAAAAATCGGCGAAATTAATTTTAATTGTAATTGCCTTTTGTTTGATAATGCGTCGTTCAAGAAAGCTAATTACGTCAAACTTACAACTCGGAGCGGCTGCTAAGACTCAGACAGGTAATGACTTTGTGACTCGGGCGTTGGGGACATAGAGTAGTGTATACACATAGGTATAGTATTTATAGTTTTCTTTATTATAAATATTTTTGTACTTTTTATCACTCTTGTTTATCATAACTCCCATCATTATCATCAACATGTACTCATCATAACTCTCTTTTATGCAGAGCCTGTTAGTGAATCAGATGTCTTACATCTCATTCTTCCTGAACTTAATATTAATAACATCCAACCTGACAGAAAAAGCAAATCTTGTATGATATCTGCACACTGCCATACACCAACTGATGCAGTTATGTGGAATGATTTGAGGAAGAAGTTCAGATGCAGAACTATCGCTCCAGTCCACAATTCAATAAGACAGATTTCCAACTAACAACATACATAATAGAGGGTGTCAAATGAAGAAACTGTTCAAAGTGCTATTGATAATAATATATTAGATCACTGAAAAAACTCCAGGGTGATTATGTTGTAGATCCTAATAATAATAAGAAGAATTTGGTGTGCATACAAATACTGATATTGATGTCATGGGAGAACCAGACCTATTTTTTATCAACTCAGCTCTGCTACTCTGCTGTTACTGTTTGCAATTGAGGTTAAAACAGAAAGAACCCTTTCTGTTAATGATTTAGTTGATGCATATAATGGTAATTATAATATCATTCACTACACTGAGGACTTGCCTACAGAAAATAATACTATCTTAATCTATTCTTTGCATCAAATTTTTTGTTATCTTTTGCATAATTCTCAGGAAATGTTAAGTTGAAAAAAGAAAATAAACAATTAAAGAGCAACAAAATGGTCAAGTTGCTCAAATCGAAATTAAAAAAATAAGAGATGACCTTGATTAAAAGTAATAGTAAAAAAATAAATTTAATCTCATAATACTACCATGTCTTCTACTACCACTGCCTCTATTATTTCCCCCCTGGCCCTTCCCTTGATAAATATTCATTATCAATATCATCATCCAATAAATTTGATTGTGATGTGAATCTTCATCAGTCTCAGGTTTAGGTGTCAGTATTTATATTAAATATTTCTTCCCTCTCAATATTTAATTCTTCTTAGTGGTAAATAATTCTTTTTCTAGTTCCCTAATTTTGTTTTCTAAATGATAATTAGGATAGAAAGGATTTAATTTCTTTGGCAATTCCAGCAACATCTGCTTTCTAGTTTTTAGCAAATTAAATTCAGTAAAAACACCATTAGAATGATATATTACCACAAAACTCGTTTTGCGCCTCTTTTTTAATTGAGTGCAGCTGCTTTTCCAAATGCTGGCACTTTTCTTGCAGGTTTTGGTATAGTATGTCCTGCAACCAGGACTCCTGCGTAGTCTGGTACGTCCAGAACGAAAGCGCTCTGGCCGTAATTTCCATGATATCTGGTCGAAGACCAGATAAGACAGACTAATGGAACAATAAACGTATTGAGAATATGCTGCAGTAAATCAATAATACTTTCCATACACATCACATTATTAATTATACATACGGATTTATAGTCTTCGCTCCATCAGCTGACTCTGCTTCACACAATATGCAGTCAATCCAAAATACTTAAATTTAATGTCCCGATACCATAAAATTTAATTTGATACTTTCATAATAGCCGTAGATTACTAATATAGGTAAAATCAAATAGTGGCATTGTTTTTATTCCGTCCTCCCACATTATCACAAGTATAAAGTGACAGTCACCTAACACTTCAGTTACCTACCTATTTGACTAGCAACTGACCTTTCAGAAGATGTAGTGCTGGCTCCAGACTAAACACAGTAAGTGTTTTCTGTCTCAAGCAGTAAAGGCTCATGCAAAGTGCACCTTTTCATTTCTGTCTGGAGCAAAGCGAAGGACTATCACTGTCTACGCACTATGAACAAATTTCGATCACATGAATTCCTACGTGAGGGTGCTGAAAAGTTTTGTCGCCGGGGTTAGATTTCAACAATCAGCTGACCTATGTAAAAATAGAGTTGATCGAGGAATGTATGAAAAAAAAAGATCACAAACATTCATATCGCCATTTCGAGAAACCATTTTTTGAAAAGCCCATACCAAACGACTGGACGAAATAAGCCACAAATGATGACGATAATAAATTTTTGTTTCATATAGGAATCGGTCGGGAGCCAACTCAGTTTCACAACGAGTTGGTCAATGCAGTAGGGGAACGAGCACTATCTCTTGGCGCAACTTAAAGCTGAATTCATGCATTCAAGGGATAGAGATTAGAGTGTTCTTGACAATGTTCGTTCTGGGTGTCTTTGCGAAGCAATGACGTCAGAAAAATATTGCCAAGTCGACTACTTCATAAACACTG